TTTTTTTGAGCCACTTTTAATCGCTTTGAATAAATACTCCCTTAAGTAGTTAAATATAGGAGGAGAAAATACGCCGGTTGTTAAAGCAGGAGAGGAAGATAGACCTACCTGTCCTATAGCGTGACTCCTATAGAAATTTTTTAAAAAGTCGGAGTATTTTACTACATCCCTAAAATGTCGAGATTTGTACAAGGTAAGAAATGCTGATGCTTGTATCCCCCGAGTTGCTTTAGCCGAACTTGGGTACTGTTATTGGAGGTTGGTGGGTGGTTTGGAAGTGGAAATACTCATTTGAGATAACATTTGCGAAACCCTTTTCGTTGAATTGTCATCTGAGCTGTCTTGAGCTGCTGGGTTGACGTTCCAGACACGTAAAATTTATGTTCCTTTACCCTGCTGGGTTTAGTTTTGCCTCCCTGAAATCAGGTTAGTAGTACTGTCGCTCTCCTGGATAGTGGCTGTTAAGTGATAAAACAGGATTTTGGCTGCTGATTAATCCTTGTTCTCTTTTCCTGGTCTGTGTCAAGGTACCTGTGTGTGCACGCGGACGGGAAGGGCTGGGGAAGCGGGAGGACTGGGAAAGGCAGGTGGGTTTTGCCGGGACTGTTGGGGAAGCTTTAGTGTTCTCAGTTTATACTTCGTTTGGGTGTACGTGGTTTGCGTCTCAGATTCACTTATTGCGAAACCGGGAGTAGCCTGAAGAAGCTGGAGGTCATTTCAGCTGGAGAAATGACTTTGCTGCATTGCTGTGTTTATTTTTTTCCTTTTTTGAACTATGAAAAGATGATTAAGGTTACTTTAAAATTTGGAAACTGCCCTCTGAACTCCACATGTGTGTTAAAAAAGGGTTAGGGAATGCCTCAGCAGAGCTTAGCAGTAACCGTGTGTGTATGAATGCATGTGTGTACGGTGCACTCATTGAAATTGGTGCTGCCTTAAACCTCTGGCATCAGTTTGTAGCATGAGACTTGCCTTCTGGTATGCAAGTAAACTCTTGTAGACTCCAGTGTGTGAAAGCTTCAGCCATCTTGAACACACAGCTAGCAAAGTTCACACTTAATGTGCTTTCTAATAAATGTAGGTGTACTTTTGAAAAAAAAAGTTGTGTCAGTAATGGCCATCATTTGACCCTGGGAATAAAGATGCCTTACTGAGTTCTACATTATTTTATTAACCCTTCTTTACGTTTTGTGTAGTAGATTAAAGGAAGAGAATTAAATTGCCTGTGTTATTATCAAAACCTATGCTTGCCTTTAGTACTAAGCTCAGAAATGCCACTTGTTATTAGACGTCCAAATTCATGTTATATCTTATATGTGGTAAGAGATGCTCCTTATGTTCTGATTGAGTAAATGTCTTATTCAGGAATAGAAAGACAGAACTGTTAGAAATCTACTGGTTTTGTAATAACAACAATATTCAATTACCATGAAGAAGATATTTTGCAAGAATGTGCTAGGTTAAAGTGGACAAGTCACTTCTCTTTAAAAGTTAGAAATATTGTTAGTTAAACCCAAGGCGTTTCATGTATTTTTATGCTTTAGAGTAGCTTGCAGAATTGGCAAACATTGACTGATTTCAAAGCTTTGCTGTAAGGCTAACTGTCCTCAGGAGATTCAAAATCAAGTGGTAAGAATTGCTATGTATCTTTGTCATTTCTTTATTATCCACTTTTTTTTTAAAGCCCTTTATATTTTGGAATACTAGATTTACAGAAAAGTTGGATGTTTGTCAAAACTAAGAAATTAACATAGGTACATTACTGTTAACCAAAGACTTTGGTCAGATTACCGTTCCCATGATTCAATCCAGGATACCAGATTGCATTTGGTTGCCAAACACTTTTTTTCTTTTTGTTTCTTTTTTCTTTTCTTTCTTTTTTTTTTTTCTTTTAGGAGTCAAGGTCATACTGTGTTGTCCACTCCGGAGTACACTGGGTATTCACAGGAGCAATCACAGTGAACTACAGCCTCAAACCCCTGGGCTCAAGCTATCCTCCTGACTCAGCCTCCTGAGTAGCTGGGACTATGGGCATATATCATAGCTTGTAGTTGCCATATATTTTTACTTTAAATGGTAGTTTTCCTTTTAAGATGGGCAGTTTTGCACAAAAATATGACACCCCCTCAAAAATTTTTTCCATGAATGTTCCCCATGTTTATCATTGTTTAAATTTTTGTCTTTGGTTCTGTTTATGTGGTGAATTACATTTATAGACTTGCATATGTTGAACTAGCCTTGCATCCCTGGGATGAAGCCTACTTGATCATGGTGGATAAGCTTTTTGATGTGCTGTTGCAGTCGGTTTGCCAGTATTTTATTGAAGATTTTTGCATCTATGTTCATCATGGATATTGGCCTGAAGTTTTCTTTTCTTACTGAGTCTCTGCCAGGTTTTTGTATCAGGATGATGTTGGTCTCATAAAATGATTTGGGAAGGATTCCCTCTTTTTGGATTGTTTGGAATAGTTTCAGAAGGAATGGTACCAGCTCCTCTTTGTATGTCTGGTAGAATTCAGCTGTGTATCATTGTTTAAATTTTTTACAGTGTGAGCCCGCTATATGTTTAACTCTGCTGCTGTAATTATAAATGATAAACCTAGTTGACAAATGACACAGCTGTCTCTATAGTAGAGCTTTCAAGTATAAGGGTTGGAATTTTTGATTTTGATTTTTTTTTTTTTTAAGCACATCAAAGTCTTTGATCTTTGCTGCAGAAAATACTGATATTTCCAATCACTGGTACTTAGTAGTTTATGCTCCTTCATAGGGGAAAGAGTGAACAGAAGTTAGATTTCTAATTTTTTTTTCGTAAGTTGTCTCGTTAAGCTTTATAAGAGTCCTGAGATGTAGATTTTTAACATGCCCTTACAGGTGAGGAAAATTAAGTTTTTTGTTTTTTTTTTAGGCAGGGTCTCACTTTGTTGCCCAGGCTGGAGTGCAGTGGTGCAATCACAGTTCACTGCAGCCTTGATCACTTGCTTTTCCCACCCCAGCCCCCTGAGTAGGTGGGACTACAGGCACACACCACCATGCCTGGCTACTTTTTAAATTTTTTTGAAGAGACAGGCTCTCTCTATGTTTCTCAGGCTGGTCTCAAACTCCTGGCCTTAAGCAATCCTCTATCCTCAGCCTCCCAAAGTGCTGGAATTACAGGTGTGAGCTACTAGTGTCCAGCACTGAAATTCTTATATATATATATGTCTAAAACCCTTGTTCTTTCTGATACCTTTTGTTTTGTCTAACATTAACAACTGTGGAAATGGCCTGTTTCTCCAGCTAGATTGTCAGTTCCCGTTGGGCAAAGATAATATTATAGCCTTGGGAGAAATACAATGTTCTGTAAGTGGTGAATGCTCTAAGTGAATTTGTCATGGATGACAAAGAAGAAGCCCACAGCTTAGCACTTTCCATATACTATTTAGTAGGTTATCCTATATTTTTGGTTGTAGTTTTTATAATACCTCTTATATTACATAAATGTTGAGAAAGATGAAAGGCTACAGACTTAGATTTGAATACTGTTACTAGCAGGTGATCTTAGAGAGATAACTTTCAAACCTCAGTTTCTTCTTACATAAAAATTGGGTAGTAATGCTTATGCCTCAGAGTTATTGGAAGGTTGAAATGAGATAACTATGTGCATATGCTAGGCACATATTAGGTGGCCAGTAAATTTTACTTTTCTTTCTTGAAATGACGGTGGCCTTTCAGATAGCGTTGCCACCAGAAATATAACCACATGTCATCAACAGAAATAAACAGAAGCAAGGCAAGTATGACAATTCTTTATTTTCCTATTCCAGGTTTCATGTTCAGGCCTAGGTGTTACTATGTTTAAAAAAAAATGTGCAGGAGTGGGAAGGTGGGGCAGGGTAAAGTTTGGACTATGTGGAGTGAATACAAGTTGGTGACAGTTTTGAGTGCAGTCAACAAAATTTTTTTTGAGCTTTCGGTATGTATAATGTACTGTATTAGGATTTCTGGCATATCCCTTATGGTAAGCACTGAAGTTCAGCAGATATGGGCATTACACCTGTATGTTATGTACACCTGTTTTTGAATGTCACAGAACAGGGGGTTGCTATACTTTGCTTGAATCTCTTCCTCCAAATGTAGGCATTGTACCTTAAAGGAAAGCTAGGTATCTCCATCCTCAAGCACATTGACCATAAACTATTAGGTGGAAATGTTCAAGTAATAGGCAAGAGAGTTCTTAGTATATATTTCTTAGCCAAAAAAGGTTTTGCTTTCTTTGATCACCTCTCCAAGTCTCTGTTCCTCAGGCACTTAAGATTCCTCCTCTTAGGAAGACCTTCCTTTACTGGATTTGCAGCATAATTCCTAGCTAGTATATTTTGCCCTTGGGTCACCTTCTGTCTGTGATATTTCTTCTGCTTCTGGTTTTCCCTGCCCCAGGGGTTGTTCCAGGGCCCCCAATTATTCTAAATGAATGTGAGTACCATCTCTTCCCTAGCTGAGTGAGAAAGGGGGCTCCCTGTCATAGTTGAAAGTACCAGGAGTAGGGGTTAGCAGCAGCTGTGAGCTTTTGCCAGGTTTGTCAGTGGGTACCATTTGGAATTTTGCTTTTAAAAAGTTCTGAGAGTTATGGGGTTATCACTCTAAATGTTTTGAAACTTAATAAATAATGAAGAAACTAATGTTGTCTAGCCAGCTAAGGCCATAATGGATGCTTATGCTGTAATATTAGAGGCACTGTTTTAAAAGAATGGTTTTAAATATGCCATTATCTATCTAAATTATATAAAAATGTCCCTAATGTTCTTAAAATGAAGTATATACCTATATTTTAGGGATGTAAGTACCTCTGTGTCACTTAAAAAAATGCTTGAAGCCTATCAGCTTTCCCATTTGTTAAATTTTTTTTTTTTGTAACTTTTTTGGTGACTCCTATTTGGTAGATGGCAGCTAGCCAGGGAAGATTACTGAGCTAATTATAACTGGAGGGGTCTCGGAGGAATACAGAGATGAGAAGCATTCTGGGGCCTGGTTCTTCTCAAATCCTAAAACCAAATTTAGCCTGTTGCTGATCACTTAGATGATGAGGATGCTTTTAGCACGGGGATAGTGGCATGGATTTGTGTGAGGACTAGAGGCATGAAAATAACAAGTAGGGCACACCCCTAATGTTTTAAAGATCTGATTAAGATTTATTATGTTGCTTGAAGAAAAGGCTTTAGTTAAATTCAGACATAGTTATAAATGTAAAACAATTCTAAAGAAATTTAAAATGAAGGGTTGAGTTGATGAAAAGTGTTGACTGTTTTCCAACATGGACTTTGTAATCTCTGTGGTTAAATTGTCCTTGTTGTCACTAACCAGCCCTTCTTCTAGTAAGATGGATGATTTTCATTTGTGAAATCTGCTGAGGAAAAAAATGATAAGGAACATTAGAGAAATAAGAAATATTAACTGGTACACTTTTTGGCAGTGCCATTTCAGTATTCTGAATAAACTGAAAAACAACCTTAAAAGGAAATTACTCTAAGGTGTTATTTTAGTCCGTAGATATTTTCTTATAATATTGCTTCACGGAGACCATTCCCTTTGTGTATATGTATTATTT